ATCTATCCATCCGTCCCTAGTATGAATTCTGCCAACGAATAGAATAAGAAAATAGCTTTATTAAACTCTTCTAATGCTTGGTCGTATTTTGAGTATAATTGTTTGCTTTATTAATTTTTGCAAGTGCTTAGTAGGCCACCTTTGCTAACATATGTGTTACTAGACGATGACTGATTCTTGTTGAATGTATTTATTTCAATTTCAAGGGTTATACAAATAAAATCGAATTTTGTGCGGTACTTACATATACCTAACAACGTCCTAAACTCCTCCATTGGCACCGATTCTAAGTGGACAATATAGGATGTGGTGCCACTCGCACAAAAGCACATTGATCTTTCATCATAGGGAGACATACAAAAAGCGGAGACTTACGCTGGTCCATAACTTGCCTTAAACACGGATGACCTAGGAAACCCGATTATAATACGCAGCTTAGTAGCGAGACTTAACTTTAAGGTTAATTCCACCATCAATTAGAAGGGTGATGTTCACTTTTACACGGGGCGGGATCACTGTATCCGCTGCCAACTCAAGGCTGTATTTCTTGAGTATTCTTGCTAACATAAGCTTCATTTCCATTTGTGCAAACCTCAATCCGATGCAATTGCGAGGACCGTTTCCGAATGGAAGATAGTTGTAAGGGTCACGTGACCGCTTCATCTCAGGGGTAAACCTCTCTGGGTCGTATTTCTCTGGGTTTGGCCAGATGCTTGGATCTCGGTGAATACTGTAAGTGGGAATAACGACCATTCCTCCTTTTGGAATAACCAGATCCTTAACTTTGCATTCCTTTGTACACTCGCGCATCAGAAAAGGAACTAAGAGGCAAAATAATCGTTTCAGAGCAACAACTTTAAAGGTTTATGACATCATGAATGAGAATGAGCAAGGCAAGGGCTTTTAATTGAAAACAACCAGGGCATTTCCATTCCTCCGTTCCCTTGCAATTGTACCGCGTCCGAGTTACGAGTTTCCATTTGGGCTTGCGTCTCAGGGCCTAAAAATTAACTCGGCCCACATGCAGCGCGCATTGGTCTTTAAGGACCATCTCCATCCGCTTCTCTCCTATGATTAACTGTGTTGCTGGTTCCATTTAGAGCCTGCCTTGATTTCTAATTTCTCTTTCCAACGTTCGTCGCAACTGTTCTTCGACCACCCACTCTTCCCCTTCCCTTCTGGTTCCACCTTAAGGCAATGAAAAAATCTTACTAGAGAGTCAACAACGTTCCTTACCAACTGGGTGAAGTCGGAGAGTCTCTGCTATGACCATGTCAAGATAAGGCAGTTCGCGGACCGTGTCATAGGACGGTATCTCCTCGTCGTCGGTACACACGCTATCGATTTCTTGATGCAGCTTCTCCTGTACCTCGGGGTTCGCAGCTATAAAGAAACACGCCAGACTTAAAGTAACGCTAGTTGTATCGGAGCCGGCTTGTAAGAAACCGATAGACTGGGCAGCAATTTCATCGTCACTGAGTCCTTTGCCTCGTGTGTCGGCGTTCAACATGAGCTCCAGCAAATTCTACAAGAAAGATATTACAAAATTAGAAAAGTGTCAAGAAAAATAGTACAAGCCAATGCCAGTGCTACCAAAATGTTTGAGATGCATTTACCGTGGAGTGAGTAATTGAGGACTGGAATAATTGATCCCCGAAGACTAGGATAGGTGGTGAAGTGTTGACACGGGGTTACATGTATGCCAAATAGATTATACAACCTAAAATCAAGTTTGACCAACAATGACCTTACAACTTGTTGCGCCTGACCTTTAAAGTAGTACCAACGCCTTTCCTTGTCACAAAGGTCGGAACGATGGCTCTGAGGTAAAAAACATCCTTTAGAGACTAGTTTCGCCTTAGTTCTTCCATTTAGCTAGACTAACCTTTTCCATGCCCTCTGCTGTTCTCTTTGATGTTTTTATTACTTGGTCCGCGACGATCTTGATGCCCTGAAAATTTTTAAACAACCACGGAGACAACAGTCTCAACAGTTTGGCTCCATAGGGAAGAAGTAGACCTAAACCAATTATTGTCAGGGCTACCGGGCTGAACCGAAGAGCATCGCGAGCTTGGATCATGGTGGGATCATCTGGATCAGTTTGACATTCTGATTGGACACCAAAGGCGGTCGATAAGATAATGTCAAAGGTCAACGTTCGTATATACCTTGGAATAAAACAAGAAGGAAATCGTAGGTTATCTTGGTATTTGTTCAAGTACCTGACTTTAAGGAAATGTTATCTCTATGTATACGTCGTGCTAAGTGCGTTTTTAAGAGCTTTCCAGTCCTTTTCTTGGTCAAATTGTAGCTATTACCTTATTTGGCTACATGATTCTCTCGATTACAACGCCCTTTAATTTTAAGTTGGAGATACTGCGTTCTAGAAAAATCTACCGTTAGCCTGTGTGACTTTTCAAGTGGACTAAACCAGTCCCAAATCTGAAAAAGCCCGTTTCTGCATCGTGACTTTGAAAAGACAATTGTACCAATTTAAATCATCCAAACTTTATAATATTTTGCCAAACGTTAAAGCAATCCTTCGTTAAACCTCTTCCTCCTCCTTCGAAACCAAGCCTGTGAGGGTCAAAATGACACTCTGGGCAGATCGGTGTCAGCTAATATCGAGCTCCTCTGAGAAACCGCTGTAATGTTGGTTAAATCTGTTACATGGTCTTTTCAATTCAAAATTAATTTGTAACCTGTTGAGCGATCAAATTGCAAGAAATTACTTGCCGTAGGTAAAGGTAAAGTCTGCGTACGAGCCAAGTGGCTCATCAGACTGGAGCTTATCCCGGTTTCATGTAGCACGAAGCGACTAGGAGTATTTCTATTCCCCCCTGGATGGGATGCTAGTCCATCGCAGGGTTACCAGCATTAAATTCGCCGGTACCCATTAATCCAACCAGGTAGAGAGAGGCACCGTGAGAGTTAAGTGTTTTCCCAAGAACACAACACAATATCCCCGGCCAGGGCTCGAACCCGGACCGCTCACTCCGGAGTCGAGCGCACTAACCATGAGGCCACCGCGTTTCCCACAATTGTTTGCTATAAGAGTCCCATATTCAAACTTGTTATGCAGCTACGGTTTCTCAGGATATAAGGCCGACTGTGGCTGAGACATCTAAACAAAGGAACTATTAACTTTAGAACCGAAAAAAAGTATGTATAATCCAACTCGATGTCTAGTCAGAAGAAGCGCAGATTTGACCAAAAATTTATTGTTACAAAAGTTCCCTTACTTGGTTACGAAAGAGCCCGATTTGTTACGATAATGCCTTACTCGTACAAACGTTCCCTATATATCCACGTTAGAGAAGTTCCCTAGAGGGGTTACAAAAATTCCCTACGTTACAAAAGTTCCCTTTCTTTTGGCTCTCCTTCTCCCCCTCCCTCCGTCTGTCTGTCCGTCCGTCCGTCCGTTTGTCCTTCAGTCATTCAAGCCATTCAAACTGAGTCCTTCTTTCTGCCCTTCGGCCCATCTCGGTCGGTCTATCTATCCATCCATCCGTCTGTATGTCTGTCTGTCTGTCTGTCTGTCTGTCTGTCTCTGTGTCTGCCTATCAGTCTGTCGAAGAATAATTCATGCACTCATTCATGTTAGTATTCGTTTAGACACTTACTCATGAATATCGACGCTTTCCTCGTGATGGGCCACTTTTTCCAGTTTAGTCATGAAAGTATCAAAGGCCTGGTTCATTAGAGGCACCATCCGCCTCATTTTCAAAGCACTGAAAGAAGGCGACAGTGTACTGCGGATGTGTCGCCATTTTTCTCCCCTAACGACACTCACTAAACTGTTAAGCGGCGGAGGAAACTCAACCAAAATCTGAAAAGAAAAACAAGGTAGTAATAAAAGTTATGAAACAAAATTCGCTAGTTCTTGGGGCGCTTTCCAGTTGAACAAAAATAACGGTTTGGATTCGTAAACAGTTCCAGAGGCGAATAGAAAAACAAGTATTTTCATTTTTGACAGCTGTTAAGACGCTATTTCAATAATACATGTGACGAATGACACAGTCTTCAGGAAAATTTACCTTATTAATTAACTGGACTACAAAAACGATGACAAAAATATTTTAACAGGGCTCAAAGGACATTCTTTTTTTTAATATCGACCGCTTAGGTATTTTAACTGTTGAAGCGATAGAGTATTATTGGCGTGCAAAATACCACTACATTTCCTTAAACAACCGAAAACCTTCACTGTCGGCACATTATACAGTGTTGCACAACATAAACTGGTATACAGCTGTCAGAGAACGCAGTGTTGGCAAACCAAATTCTATAGTAGCCGTGCCATTTTGTCGCCTGCATGCATTTTCTTCGTCGGTTCCGGGCTTAGGTGAAGAATTCCACAATTCCACAATTTCTCCTTTTCCACGCTTAAAGTCACGCTTCGGTCAGCAAAGACGGGTAAATAAGATTTGAATTTTCCATGATTTGAATTCATTGCAAAAATCGTGAAGAAAAAACCATCCGGTCTCCTTGATAGAGTATATTAAAATTTGGGGCATTCCTCAATTTCACTCGAGAAAAAAAGTTTGCTAATCACAGCAGGATTCTTCAAGGAGTTCTTTGACTAAAGTGAACTAATTGTGGAATTGGACGCATCCAAAGTGTGACAGTAGTTGCGTCCGCGTGTTATTTCAATTAATATTTCTACCTAACTACTGTTTTGCACAGACACTACGTAAAACAGAAATCGAATTCACCTACCGGTCTGTCAGTAAATGAGTCGAAATCTTTCACCAGGATCTGTTTAATCATTTCGGGGTCCGCCACACCGATGAAGACCGTCACGCCACTCGTCACAAATAATTTTCCATACTTCTTGTAATACCGGTCGAACAATTCGTGCACTTGTCCTTTGGACTTGATCGAATCAGGCAAATTGTTGATGAACGGCCAAGGCTTTGGTCCAGGTATATGACTGTAAGGTTTGAGTTGACGCGAGTGTTTTGTACCAAAGTGAAGCAAACCAGCTCCAACGACGAAAGTTATGACAAAAGTGAACCAGTACTCGTTGAAAATTCCGACTAATTCCACCATCAAATCCATGTTAGCCGTTCGATGTTATGTGGTGACAACTGAGTTCTCTGCTACTATATAGAATTTAGCCAAAACTACAGCACCAGCAATATTAAGTGTGATGTCAACAACAATGCAATGCAGTCGTCATGAAATCATGAGGTCTGAGACACCTGGTGTCACGCGATATCATTAAACGACT